GTATATATACCAATTAATTATATGTTTTTAAACATCCTTTAATGCTCATTTGTTGGCCTTGTTTTTTCTATTTAATTTTCAATTTATACGAGCGTAGTTACTTTTTATTTACTTATCAGAATGAATAATTACTGCGTGCGATAAAGTTATAGATTGTTTTATGCTAGAAACAGTCATGAGACACTATATTATTTTTAACATCTTTTTTTAAAGATAAGGATATCAGAAGGATTTAAACAATTGTCCAAGTATTGAAATATTCTTCTTAAATTGAGAGCGATCACATCTATTTTACACATAGACGATTCCACACACTTTTTAAATATGTAAATGATATTTGAAGTGAAAGTTGAGATACTCACGGTCAACGATATCCATCCCATACTCTGGAAATGGTACGCGCCGGGTGCATCCTAATGCCAAGGCGTCGTTGTCTCGAAGTTCGTCATCGTCCGACGTGATGGTGGTTACTTCCTCTATCCTTTCTTCCATCTGTTAACAGGAAACGGTCTCCCTTAGTGAGCATACGAGATGCGATTATATTTTATTATATTGACTATTACGTTAAAGAATTTAAATTTGATATGCAAATTTCACGTTTATCTTTCGTTGCACTTGGTAGCGCTATACGTTTCGCATTGCGAGAATATGCAAATGCGATGATCGTAATCGGCATCCGTACCGTAAAGGACACCGGTTTCCGACGATCTTCATTCCGCCTGATCGCCGCGCTATGATCGCCGTTGCACGTGAGACGCTCGGACGCGTAACTCGTTGCATCTTCCTCAAGGCCATGTTCGTTCTCGTCTGAAAAAGGAACATTATCTTCGTAAATATGACTTTTCCACACTTCATGCGCGATAATACGTTAAGTAAATCCTACGTACTTGCGGTATATTTCGCTTTAGGCGAATCTGTGTCGTGCAGAACGTTGCTATTGCCGTCAACCCGTTCCCTTTGGTATCTTTCGATGACCTAAAATGCGCATAATAAATTCGGTCATATTTAATTTTAGTACAGCTTTTATTGGCGGCGATAAATTTTTAATTAGTAATAAATTAATATAAGAAACACACAGTGCGCATCTTAATTTTGTATAACCGATTCGAACATGATACAGATTATAAATAATATTTAACGTATATGCACTGAGAAAAAAAGCTGTTGCTTCAATTAAAGTGGTATCACGGGGTGCCAAAAACATAAGTAGTTTATTCAACTGTATTATTATTAGACCCAATTAAATTATTGGTTTAATAATCCAGATATTGGGTCTAATAATAATAGAATTGAATTAACTGCAGTACTTATATTTTTGGCACCCCGTGATAGCACTGTAATTGAAGCAGCAGCTTTTTTTCTCAGTGTGGAAAATATAAATATTTATCTCATTATAATTAGTTTTAGAGAGTATAATATATTTTTTTATTATTTATTCAAAAAATTTTGAAGATATTGTGTGTTGTTCATAGTTAATTGAGGTAGTCTATCGCTTTCTTAGATTTCAAATTGTCTGGTGCATACAAACAACCTTATTAAGTATCGCGGTAGCAAGGAGATCCTCGTAACTATTATCCCCGACGACGCGTCCTTCTGGAGGATGCTCTGGAGGATCCGCGGACGCGCTCAATCCTGGTAATTTCCGGGCTTCCTCGACGGCTCGTTCGACGATCTCTCTGAGCGCCGCGTGCGCCATAGCTGGCGGATCCGTAGATGGTTTGTCTAGAACATTAAGTCGGAAAATTTTGTCAAGAGATCGACATTGTCATCGTGGTGATCGATGATAAGAATATATATATTTTCTGCTGGTCATAACGTCTGCAATTACTTATATATGAATGCGACATAGAAGTACTTCTGGGGTCAATTGTACCGTTAAGTTCGATATATTAATTTAATATTACATTTAATATTACTCTCCTCGCGTTCATCAACTTTTCTGTAATTATAAACTAAAATATCTCTAAGAACTTTATAATTATCAAAAGCTTGTACACCGATTTCGTTGAATTAACCGCAGACTTCGGCCACGAAGCGATGCGGATAATGTTTTCTCCATGCAATTTAATCTTATCAACTATATTCATTATTAATACAAAAGAGAGAACATACGTAAAGGCACCTCATTCGAGAACACGAAATTCTCGTTTGATTAAGACATTAATGGTTTTTTAGAACTATTTTGTATCGTTTACTCCCACTGGTCTCCGAATGTCGTGTTAATTCACGTTTGTTTGGCGGCTCCATGGATCGATCGCGGTTTCCGCGGAGTGACTGTCTGACACTCTATCGTGAACGATCGAGCGCACCTTACGAACAGTTATAGCAAAACGGGGTATAGCCCGTATAGCAAGCGCGAGTCGCGCTGCACTTTCTTCGGCATGATCGAGTCACGGCGAGATAACGGCGATACAGCCGGCACTCGCCGTGAATACCGGCCGCTTCTTCGCCGTAATTTCTCCGACGCGACCTTGCCGCCGATGATGCATCCTTATGGCCACTCCTCTCGTCGACGACTCTCACGACTTCATCCCATCCCTCCGTCTTTTTCTCTCTCTCTCTTTCTCTCTTCTCCTTTTGCGTATCTTGTTCGCCGCGGATCGCGGCCGCCAGGTGAAATTCACCGACCTCCTGAACTCTTTCCGCGGGAAATTCCGCGAGGTCCGCAATTTTTGCTCCGTCTACATTTTCACATCGGATTCTGGACAGCCAACGCTAATAACGATCTCAATTCGATAGGATTCTAAGTTATTTAAGTGTGTTTTTAGAATTTTAGATTCTGCATGATATTTATCAATTTGAATGAATAACTTGCATGAACTTTAACTGGTTGATCTTTAGAAGGATATTTTCATAAATTTTGAAAATTTGAATTAACAGAAAAATATTTTGTCAATGTCAATATATTCCAAACAGATTTTATCTCGTGGGAACTTAGCAAGTTTTCGTCCGAGAACTGAAAAATCAACTTAAAAGAGTTTTTTTATTTTTTGTTCCTGTTAATTCAAATATTAACGATTATTATTGGAACTTTTAAATGACTTATTCAAGTTTTCATGAAATAAAAAATGAGATAATCTTTTATTTAAAAAGAAGTCAATAAAATATAGTGCAGGAAATTTTTATTGAAAAGATATACGTGTTGTTGTTCGCGACATCTCATATAGAAGATTAATAATCCTCAAGCACAACACTGGGCTATTTGCAAATAAACACATCGCGTGTGCGCGAACGTCCCTCTTCTCTTTTTTCTTCTCTTTCTTTCTCTTTCTCTTCTTTCTCTTTCTCTTTATAACACTCGTGTCTCGCACTCGTGTTTCACACAACCACTTCTTGCATACATACAGTCGAGGATCTACCTTGTCGAGGACATCCAGCCTTGATCTCGCGCCGTAGAAGGTGAAGGCCGGCTACAGAGGTATTTTGCGCGCGATCCGGCCGCCTTAAACATTAGTCGTATTATTAGCCGGCATGTAGAAGAAGTTTCTTCAGCGGGCAAAATCGTCTTCTCTCTCTCGACAAGTATTAATGGAGCGATAGAGCCAGTAACACCGTCACTGGCCTTCGATCGATCTTTCACTTTCCTCGTACGATTATATCAAACGACGTGTCGCGGTAGCGTGACGTACAGGAATAATAATTGCGGATAATTAATCCATGATAATCGAGTCTTCCTGCTGTGACCGATTGGCTGGAAGAAATCGAGGAGGTTCGATCGCTTCACGTGATATGTAATTTAACGTACGATTTATATATGGAAAGAAAGATGTCAACGCAACCTTCGACATCACTGACACACGATAAATCAAAATTGCTAACGCAACATAGAAATCTTAATGTAGCTCGAGAATCTGCATAAATTCTCCATCCGACAAGTTTTCATTTTACCGGCTTGCTGCCGACTCTGTGTATAGCTTTCCTTGCGTTAGGAATAACAGATTTAACTTTGGCTGGGAATCATTGTAGGATATAGCGAACGGCTTCGGAATTTACCGTTCGCTTTATTTTACGAGCATCGAATTTAAGAACACCAACGATGCGTCGGCTTTCTCATGACGCAACGTCAATTACCGCGCTATCGAAACGTTGCTCTGTAAAGTGAAAATTTGGTTTACAAATAAATGCCTTTCCCATTTACACGCGAATAATTCGACAGATAAACTCTGTTTGACAGCGTAACGAGCGTGCTTTACGTGGGAAACTCATTCCTGTCGGAGAAATTCAACGTTCATTCAGCACGACGACACCTCAGTGCGCGCGCGAGAAGCTCGTGTTAAAAGTCTGGATAACGGAAGTCGTAAAACCGTTGCGCCAAGGCATTTCCCCTTTTTCGCCTTCTGTCGATCACGACGTTATAAATGGTCGATCGCGCTCGGAGATCTTAAGATGAGGTTACTGGACCAGTTTTGCACGCAGAGAGAACGGCGATATCTCGCGAGAGGATGCGCGTCGCGAGAACGACGTGTTTTCGTGCGAAAGTTCGGGGGGGGGGGGGGACTACTGATATACAATGAATGAGAAATAAAAATTCGTATACGTTCAGAGGTGCCTCAGTGGGAATAACACGCGGGTTGGAATGAGAAAGTGGAATATAATATGATATTAAAATAGAATATGTACATGAAGAAGAGTGAAAAGTGTGGAAGTAAATATTAAATATCTCTTTCTCCTGCAATTTTCGTCATTTGCTGTCTATTTGGTAGCAAATTAGAAAATAAAGAATTAAATAATTAAATATACAGAATAAAAATGCGGCGTTTATCTATTTACAAAAATTTATGGAGAAGTAAGGTGTCTCTTGCTTTTCTCTAAATATAGCTTCCAATATATTATATATAGCAATGTATAATATACTGGATATATTACTTGTGATAATATTATATGTCAGGTTATTACTGTTTTTACTTTGCAACAAGTGATGATCATTGCTGTTATTCGTTTATCTATGTCGGATTGTTCAGAGATAAGAAGATAAGAAATCAGAGTTATTTGCGGCGAAAAGTATACTTGTACGACGTACTTTCATTGTAACGTTGATAAAACATGTTATGATAGCAAAAATGGATGAAATACGTACAGATATATGAGTAATTCTTTTTAACATTGAATGATTCGGTAGAGTTAATTCTGATTTTTTTTTTGTTAAGATGAAAATTGCAATCAGTTCTATTTGACTCAATTTCGATCATTTTTCGAACATTTTTAATTATGTGTTGTGTATTAATTTTTTCTCTATTTCTAAACCCGTATTTATGGAAAGGGATGATTAGCACAGATATTTACCATTTTTCCTTGTGATCAGAACGTAGACGAAATAGGCGACGATCAGACCACCGATCAACGTCAACATTTCTTCGGCCGACTGCAGTTGCATTAACTGCACCTTTCACATCGTATCATCGGCTAATGCGATTATTCTGTCCCTCCTTTCTATTCTTTCCGTCTTCCTCTCGCACTTCCTCGCCAAAGTTCAGAACTGACAAGTCGGACACTTAGCACACATGCGTATATACGTTTATCAGCGTTTATCAGGTTGAAATTTACTCGTTAGACATCACCATTCTTCGCGAGCGTTACAAGTACCTTCGATAAGAATAACTAGGACTCATCTTACGTAACTCGCAATTTATAGAATTATTTCGAAGTCGGAATGTAAATTGCGCTTTGCCCTAATCCCCTGAAAAATGTGACGATGCTCCTCCTCGTAATGAAAATAGTCTAAATTCTGAAGAAATAGCCCACACATTCCACGAATGCGAATCCACAGAGACAATTTTAACGTTGGATTATTCCTATGTAATCAAAATGCATATTTCTTTTTATTTTTATGATTATAGTTTAAAAGATATTGCCGTATATCTTTCGGTTTTAAGATAAAACCATAAAATATATTTCACATCCGTTTAGAATCTATATGTCAAGATAATTTTAATATTTATTACGTCTGTAATCATGTTTTTTTCTGACTTGTTTAAAACACCGCTATATTTTTTAGTTGTAGAAAGTTATAAAATAGATCTCGTATCTATTTAAAAGTTATCGTGTATCTATACGTGAAGATAATTTTAACGTTTATTACCTCTGTAATCGAGATAGCATTTTCATTTATTTCTATAAATAGTTTAAAAAATATCGTCATATTTCTCGGTTTTAGGCCATAAAATAGATCTCGCATCCATTTGAAAGTTATCGTGTATCAGGTATCTATACGTGGTATAGCGATAATCTTTTGTCTTTAAAGATATGATACTTTAATGATACATGTTGTTCATTGCATTATGCATTGAAGATCATAAGTCGGAGTGAATATGGAATCACCGAAGAGTTCGTGGGTCAAGTTTTTATATAACCCGTGCATGACACGTCTTCGACGAATCTCACGAAATATTCGTACACGCGCGCAATGGCGTCAGTTTTTTCCTTTTTCTTTCTCGAACGAGCGGTTTTTAAGTTCTCATTTGCATAGCAAATGCTGAAGTAATGAACCGTGGCGACGTCAACATTCGAACTTTAAGATTCCTTCCGAGCACACGTTTCTACTTTTTCTAAAGGTGACGCGGTTGAAGGCTACATGACAAACATCGTGATCGAGCATATCGCGTTTCTCACGTGCATGATTTTATTTCGTATATCAACTGGATGCACCTTGCACGGAAGTATTATGTAACAACTTTAGTGTATTCCGATTTACAGATTGCTCGGTTTATTTTACGGCCAATATT